CCCCTTTGAGAATTATGGAAACTAGTTTCAACATGTGAACAACTGCATTTTTAATCCTAGATGCTTCTTGCACCATCAGTGTTGTCTTTCCACGGCTTGATGAATAAAGAACACTTTCCTGCAGAGACCTGCTTTGGGGGGCTATAACCAGGATGTCCCAAATGCAATATTTGCCAAACTTGGAGGGAGTGGGGAGGAGCGTCCGCTGAAGACTCGCCGTGAGATTGGTGTCCCTAACTTGTGCGGAGTCCATTCTGCCACTCTCGGAAGTCCCTAATTGCATGACCCATGAGATTGTTTTGTGAAGAAAGCTCGTGAAAGTTTGTGAACAGCGACAAAGCACGAGCCATCACAAACTGCCATTTTCCTGCGGGGGAAAATGGTGCGGGGGGGCCTGTGGAACAGCTGTGCAGCCAAAACACATACCCATCTCTAGGGGAGAGAAAATGCTGTTCATTTTGTGACAGAGCAGATGTTTTGGGTGTGAAAGATCCCAAGTTCAGTTCAACCGTCTCTATATAGTGCTGGGAACTTGCAAAGACATATGGCTAATGTAAATAAGAAAAATCCCACTATTTCTTGGACTGGGAAGAAATCCGACTAGGAACTCTTCCCAGAGAGCCACAGGTGTAGGACAAGGCTAGGGAAATGCAGTGGTTCCCAACCTTGGGTCCTGAGATGTTCTTGGACTACAACTCCCAGAAGCCCTCACCACTAGCTGTGTTGGCCAGGAGTTCTGGGAGTTGTAGTCCAGGAACATCTGGGGACCCAAGGCTGAGGACCACTGTTTTAGACCTTTGGGACTTCAGCACCCAGACACCCAAGGTAGCATGGCGTATGACAACGCCATCTCTACGGCTTGGAGACGGGGATGAGCATTGCGCCCTAGAGTTGGACACGACTGGACTAAATGTCAAGGGGAACCTTTACCTTTACCTAATTTAACAAATGACTGAACCATGTGTCTTGTAAGGGTGTTTTTAATTTGCATAACAAAACTACCTCCAAAGAAAGACAACAGAGCTGGCAAATGAAGAGAACCTCTGAAGTTGGGGAAAGTTTTACCTTGTGAAATTGTTCCCGTTGTTCTCCTTTTCACTGCTAGAGGGCAGCAGTAGCCATTTAAAGTCATTTTGAGTGGCTAGATGCCAATACAATGCTTGAATGTGCAATTTTATTCTGTCTTTAATTCAATTCTGCACTTAAACCATCTGCAGTTTGTAATGGCTCTGCGGTGGTGCTAGCATGCCTTTCCTGCTCAGAGAACTATCTGCCGAGAGCTGCTTTTTCTAGATATTCGTGAAGGCTTTCACGGCCGGGATCTAATGGTTGTTGTGGGTTTTTCGGGCTCTTTGGCCGTGTTCTGGAGGCTGCTTTTTCTTTTTAATAGAGGGGAGGTGTCATTGCCACAAGAAGTAGTGCTGTGAATGGTTGTTGCAGGTTTTTTGGGCTGTTTGGCTGTGTTAATGAAGGTTTTTCTTCCTAACGTTTCGCCAGTCTCTGTGGCTGGCATCTTCAGAGGACAGTGCTACTCCTGTCCTCTGAAGAGGCCGGCCACAGAGACTGGTGAAACATTAGGAAGAAAAACCTCAGGAACACAGCCAAACAGCTTGAAAAACCTACAACAACCATCAGATCCCGGCCGTGAAAGCCTTCGAGAATACAGTGCTGTGAATGTTTGTCTTTTAAAAAGTAGCTTAAGTTCTCTTTCAATGGGGCTGGGTGATTCAGATTTGTTTCGTGCTACGTGTGTGAAACAGTGCCCAAAATGCACTCTCTTGTATCATGATGTATGGATGTGAAAGCTGGACATTAAAAAATAAAAAAGAGGAAGCAAATTGATTCCTTTGAAATGTGGTGCTGGACGAGAGCTTTGCAGAAACCCAGGACTGCCAGAGAGACAAAGAGTCGGACACGACTTAACGACTAAATGAAAACGCAAATCAAGCCTGAGCTATCTCTGAATGTTGGAACTGAGGCTGTCCTGCTTTGGGCACATTGTGAGAAGGCAGGATTCTCCTGAAAAGACAATAATGATGGGAAAAGTAGAAGGCAGCAGGAAAAGAGGAAGACCGAACATGAGATGGACGACTCCCTAAAGGAAGCCACACGCTCGGGTTTGCAAGATGGGCGGTCCTTCCTTGTTCGTATCAAGTGATACATATTCACAAATGTTTTTGTCTGCAGAG